TATGCTGGCCTCAAGAGCATTTTCGGTCCTCCAATCTCCACAGCAGATGGTGAAACTCTATTGACGGATAAGTCAAACACTTTAGATTGCTGGAAAGAGCATTTCGAAACTGTGTTAAACACCTTTTCGGTTACTGATGAGGAAGCCATCACATCAATTGAGCAAAATCCAGAAATTCCGGTAATTGACTCCCATCAAGCAAATCTCATCTGGAAAATCACCTGCTCCCAATGATCCTATTACACCCAAAGTGTATAAGCATGGTAGGAAAAGTTGGTAAAAAAGTTAAATCTCCTTTTTGTGGAGATATGGAAGACAGGCTGTGTCCCACAGGATTATAAAGACGCCTCTATCAAACACCTCTACAAAAACAAGGGTTCCAGGTGTGTCTGTGATAATCATCGGGGGATATCATTACTTTCAAATGCATGCAAAATCCTAGTGAGACTGATTCTAAACAGAATCATTGTACACCTTGTTGATGACATCTATCCTGAATCGCAGTGTGGTTTTCGGTCGGGTCGGGCACCATTGACATGATATTTTCTCTTCGTCAAGTTGCAGAGAAGGTTCGTGAGTAAAACCAGGAGTTATACATGGTGTTTGTGGACTTGACAAAGGCCTTTACCACTGTGAATCGAGAGGCTTTTTGGCAAGTCTTGAGGAAACTCGGCATCCCTGAAAACATGCTGAAGGTTATCATCTCTTTTCATGAAGGAATGAAAGCTAATATCGTGTCTGATGGTATGATGTCAGAATCCTTTGATGTCACAAATGGCACCAAGCAAGGTTGTGTCATGGACCCCGTCCTTTTTGCCATTTTCTTCTCAGTGACGCTGACATATGCATTTGCAGACACACAGAGTGGCGTCAAGTTTGAGTTTCGAGCAACTGGTGGTCTCTTCAATAATCAGCGCTTCAAAGCCAAGACCCACCTTCGTACGCTTATTATTCGTGATTTGTTGTTTGCTGATGATGCGGCTCTTTATAGCGACATCCTTTGAGGAGGCCCAATATCTAATAAATCGTTTCTCTGATGCATGTAAAGCCTTTGGTCTTACACTTAGCATAAAGAAAACTGAAGTTGTGCACCAACTTTGTCCTACTCCGAAGCAATTCTGTAGTGAGAAACAAAAACCACCACTCTACAAATTTCCAGAGAGACCATTGAAAGTAAAAGACAAAGCCCTGAACTATGTAAAGTCTTTCACCTATCTTGGCAGCAAATTCAACTACAGTGGAACTTTAGATGATGAAATCATGCATCGGATTGCTAAGGCTATCAGTGCTTTCGGCAAACTTTGCTACCGCTTGTGGATACGAAAATTCGGGTTTACAGAGCTGTTGTACTTGCCATCCTTTTGTATGGCTCAGAGTCGTGGACTCCATACAGGTACCATATACGCCAGCTGGACGTTTTTCATAAAAGCTGTCCGCATGCAATCTGTGGAGTTAATCATCTAACGTAGACCTGATTAACAAGTGTAATATTGGAGGAATCGAGACTTTTTTCATACAATCTCAGTTACGGTGGACTGATCATGTCTTATGACAGGGTATCCAAAATCTTAATGTACAGCCAGTTAGATCAGGGTTACAGGAATGTAGGATGCCCATGGCTAAGATACAAAGACAAGCTGAAAAGCAACTTGCCAGCTGTCAATATACCACATAACACCCTTGAGCGCTTAGCTTTGGAGAGAGTAGAATGGAGATCAACGTGTTTTAGTGTACTCAGCAGTTTTCAATCTGTTTGTCTGAATCATCTTCAAGAAGCGAGAGCAAGAACTAAAAGGTCAGCCAATCTAACAGTGATCTCATCTCATAATCCTCACTCTTGCTCCATATATGGCGTCATTTGTAAATCACTAGGGGGTCTTAAATGCCACTAAAGATTATCGCACAAAATTTCATAACTGAATCAACTAAACTGTCAGATCCTCATACGTCGAAACCGACGGGAGAGTCCATTATATATATATATATATATATATATATATATATATATATATATATATATATATATATATATATATATATATATATATATATATATATATATATATATGTATATATATATATATATATATATATATATATATATATGTATATATATATATGTATGTATATATATATATGTATGTATATATATATATATATATATATATGTATATATATATATATATATATATATATATATATATATATATATATATATATATATATATATATATATATATATATATACTACATTAAGTGACTCTTACAGAATTAGTAGGCCTACCAACATATATTATTATTAGCGATGACAAACTTTAACAACATAAGATATGCACATGATACAGTGTTGATAGCAAACACAGAAAGGAAACTACCAGAACTCTTACAGAACGTGGTGAACGAAAGCGTAAAGTAATGTCTATATATCAATTGTAAGAAGGCGTGAAGCAATGTCTATATATCAACAATTGTAAGAAGACAGAATTGATGCTTGTATATAAAAAGAACAGTTCAACAGGCAAATTAGAAATTGGAGATACTAAAATCAAATAAGTACAGCAATTTAAATATCTGCGGAGTGTTTTAACAGAGAACGGGAAGTTCATCACTGAAAGCTCATTGAGATAGCGAAAGACGCCTTTCAAAAGCTAAACAATGCATTAAGAAACAGGAAAATTGTCAGCATCAAAGAATATTGAACTGTTATGTAAAATGACATGATAATATCAGTCCTTCCATATGACTCAACAATATTCTCACAGCAGAAGGAGAGAATTGAATCAACAGAAATGTAGTCCTACAAAAGGGTGCTGAAAATATGAAGCAATAACGAATTTTTAGAGAAAATAGAAACAAAAACTACACTTATACTTAAAACCACGAAGAGAGAGTTTAAATGTCTAGCACACATAATGAAGAAAGAGGGATTAGAAAATATGATGCTCACAGTGCAGATTGATGGTAAGAGGGACAGAGAAAAACAATGCATAACCAACGTAGTAAATGGATGGCCGAACAATGTCTACGAGAGATAAGAAAAAGACAATTTATTAATTGTTGCAAAGGATAGGAAACTGTGGAGAGCCATGATCTCAAACGTCCTGAAGGAATATGGCACACATAAGTATATTAAATTAATATAATTTTTATATCTATATTTTTATTACACATGTTTTTCAAGGTTCTGTAAGTCGATATTTAACCACGTTTGACGCCAATTTCACAAGATAAACAACGCCACCTGCATCGGATAACATCGTCTGCTGACATGAAACAGTTTTCAGTCGCTATTGGAAACTTGCAACAAATAAAACAATAAAGACGTTAAAAATAATATAAAGGCTGACATTCAGATAATATAATCACTTAGTTCAGAGCAACAGGCACTGCTAGCCATACATCTGCAACATGGCAAAAAGGCAAATTTTATTAGAATAATAACCGGACAGTTAATATTACGTGCAATCACAAAACAAAACAAAAAAAAAACAAATGTTTGTCTTATGACAAATTTATTTTCTACTGGAGTTGATAATATATAAACAAATTAAAGTAGATAACATTTTCAAAATATATTATGTTATTTTTTGTTTCGTTTGTTTTTACTACGTGCTTAATAAAGAGTTGTAAATAAAGATTATTTTGTCTCGTTGTGTCCCACGCAGTGGCGTACAGAAGTGGAGGCAGAGGGTGCGCCAGCCCAAGGTATCTTTTCCTAGGGACAGACAAAATTAGTCAAAGAGAAAAAAAAACAAATAACTTTACAACGGGATGTCAAAGGCCTCAGCAAATATATTTTGCAAAATAATACACATAAAATGATTTTATATGTAATCAAGGCAGAAATATTAACATCAGGGTGAAAAATGTTACATTTAATATTAAAACTCCAGTTAGTTTAGTTTGTATTTAATTAGAATAATTTTTTTTATTTCATGTTTTATCTATTTTTACATATTGAAAATGTCCTCCTTTCTGACATTTCTCGGTACGGGTCCCTCTAGCATCACCAAACCTCTGAACATCACTGGACATGCACAAATACCAAAATACACAGACACACACAGACACAGATAGATAGATAGATAGATAGATAGATAGATAGATAGATAGTCTTAAATACCAAATAAAATAAAATTAATATTTTAATAACTGAAAATTATAAAAAAAAGAAAACTACAGGCTGAATGAAAAGCAACTCCCTGTTATATGTGTGATGGACTCCCTCGTATTGTAAAAATTATTGTTAGACAGGAGAGTCCATTGTACATTAAACAAGGAGTTACTTTTCAATCACCCTGTATCGTAATTAATAAAATGTAGCTCTTTAGAAATTTTTCAGTTTTCTAAAGATTTCAAAAGGAGAAAATATTTATCTTTTTATGACATTCTTTTTGTAAGAGTAATTAAAAAGAAAATTCTATCAAGCAATTTAAAATTCCTTTGCTGCTTTTACCTCGCACATTATTAAATGAGAAGAAAGGAACTGTGTGCGTCTATGTATGTGATATGATAATTAGCATAGAATAAAAACAAATATTAAAATCAGGATTCTAGTTTATTTGCATAATGATTTCTTCATATTGACTGATTGGTTAAATTCAAAATTCAAATATTTTCCTCTGCATTAAATAATGTATTCGGTTTGATTTTCTGAGAACGTTATCGAATACAGCAGGCAAACTAAAAAAAACGACTACAAACTAAAGGGTACACCATCTCAAATGCATTATTTTATAGTAAAGTTTCAGTAGAGCTACATAATAATTGTTAATGTATTTCATCCTCATGTTGATTGTTCTTATTCTTTAATCACTGTACCCCCAATTATAGCTCAACTATTGGCTTGTATCCAGTGACCTTCAATCAATATTGTTCTTTCTATGGATTTACATTGGTATCATCCTTTTATACTTGTAATTGCCACATTGTTCTTTTTATTACTGTTTTATCTCCTGCACTGAGGCAATGCATTTTCCACTACTTGATCCATTGATTGACGTTGAAACATTGATTCTCGTACGATCACCGAAGTTAAGCAATGTCGAGCCTGGACAGGACCTTGTTGTGTGAACATTTGGGAATATCAGGTGCTGTAAGCTTCAATGTGCGGATGGTGTAATGGTTAATGGCTCAAAATAATTGGAAATCAGAAAATGTCTTCCAATTCTAGTCGTGTTTTTTTTTATATTCACTTATATGCAAATAGCCTTGAATCCCCATCTTCTCCACACAGCGATGGTTTAATTATTACAACTTGTATCAGCAAATAATTATCTTCAAAACATTCTTATAAACTAAAAATACTTTCTAGCTTTAAATAATCTGCAAAAGTTTAATAAGTTATAAAAAATATAATTAATTAATCTATCAATCAATCAATCGAGTGATTGATGTGACGACGGTTTAGGAAACAAGTCAAAAGTGTTTTTTTTTTTTTTCATTCATTCGTATGTAGTACAGAGAAATTGTTTAAATGGTAACTTTAGTGGGTCAGGGGCAAAATATCGATTTAACTGCGGATGTCAGAAATTTCCGTCATCCGTTTTGTCATAATAGTGAATGATGTGATATCTGCCGCAGTTAATGTGTTAAGAACCGAACACGTTTTTCTAATTGTAAATAATAAAAAAAGTGAATAATTTAGAAAGCTGACGGTATTCATTAGAAAACATGATTTAGCTGCACGTACAAATTCCAATTATTGGTTAAATTAGGATGAATTAATCGCCAGAGAGAAAAATTTCCCCATATATTTTTTGTTTTGATAACAAAGATGGTTTTTATTTCATTGTCTATATAAATTATGTCCATATATAAGCAGTAATAGAATACATGAAGTGGATGTAGCGATGTGATTGTGAATCTAATTATATATCAAATTTAAACTGGCTGACAATCATGCTAATAAAAAAAACATTGGTTCTGTCGTTAATTATATTCATATCTCTTTCTTCACCCATTTTAAAAATCTCAGCGAAATTTCATACAGTTAAACTCGTTATTGCTGGTTGAATGATTTCCAGTGTCTAAAATAAAATATCTAAAAAAAAAAGTTTAAATATCACGCGCGCTAAATTAAGTACAAATAAAATATTTAGTGCCTAATTGTAAAATTTAGTCGAGAACAAGATATTGACATGTTTATTAATTTTTAAAATCCCTGATAATCAAGTAGCTTTAAAATTCACTAAGATTAATTATTTTCAGTTATTTTTAGCATTAGTCATTCAATAATGGATCAATGTTACATTTTGCATCCGGACAACACATTTTCACTTGGAGATTTTCAACGCATTTTATTAAACCTTTCCTCTACATTTTATCCATTTTAGGAATGTTAGTTTCATTGTCGTAATAAAGATACTGTCAGCTTTAGACAGTTTCACCAGGAATCAGAAAGAGTTCATTTTTTTTTTACCCATAATGAAGAAAGAAGGTCTGGAGAATTGAATACCCACAACACATACTGAAGGGAGCAAGAACGTAGGAAAACAAATAACGAGTTTGTAGGAATGAATAGCAGAAGGGTGATAAATAGATATGGTAAAGAACTACACGGGAGATGAAGTTGTGTTGAACAATGATCACCCTCGTCCTGAAATACTTCTATGTGCCGCGTCTCTTCAGGACATCGGCGATCATGACTCTCCACAACTTCCTATCTTGTGTGGCTCTTAGCAGTTTTTCTCCCTTTGCTAAGTTTCCCGTCATCTATTCACACCGGCTCGCTGTCTTCTATCTCTCTTGCCCTCAGTATGCCCCGTGATGATTGTTTTCCAAGCCCTCCTTACACATTATGGCCAAAGAATTTCAAGTATATTTTTCATGATTCTGAGTAGGAGGTTCTTTCTGCTGCCATTTTCTTTAAGACTTCCTTGTTGCTTACTCGCTCCATTCATATAAGAGGATGAATAACATATACCAATCTCTTTCTCTGTTTCTGACAAAACATTGCATTTTCTCAGTACTTCGTCTAGCTTTTGGCATGGCTCTTTCAGTAGTCCAGTGCGTGTGTTCAGTTCTCAGTGTCACATTTTTTATCCTCTGTTAAATCACTTCCTAGATATTTCGGTACTTGCTTGATGTTTACCTCTCCTATTTGTAATCCCATATTTCTCATCTTGGACTTTCCTCTTGTTGATGACCATACTTTCTGTTTTCTTGTAGTGAATGGTTAGTCCTCTTTTCTCGCTTTCTTCTGCAACCCTGTCTAGGAGGTCATGTAGTTTTCTTTCCGAGTCGGCCATCAACACAGTGCCATCTGCGTATATTATAGTTTTAAGACTACGACCACTGATGATAAATCTTTTTAGGGTTTCCAGCTCTCTTATGATGCTGTCGATATAGAGGTTGAATAAGTCTCGGAAGAATAAGCATCCTTGTCTCACACCAATTTCTATTTTTTACCTACTCAATTCATTTTCTATTCACACAGAGGCGTTTTGCTCCAAGTACAACTTCTGGGTTATTCTAACTTCTTTTCTAATTAGATCGAGTTTTCCTCGCAGTTCAAATACACCCTTGTGTCGTACATTGTCAAATGTTTTGCGTAATTTATAAAACATAAGTTCATATTCTTCTGCAGTTGTATTTCTCTTTTGCTATCGTTCTAATCATGAATATTGCATTTTTGTTCCGGTGTCCTTGACAAAGTGGCACTTTCGTTTTCGTCCTATTTCCGGTGTAATTTTGCTTCGCGATTTTTTCATCAGGATTCGCATCATTAGTTTGGCTAATTAAAGTGATTATTTTATGCAGCTCGTATTTGTTGCGCCTAGTTTATAAGGCAGCCTTAAGAAGAGGGATTTAGTGAGGTCTTTCGGTTCGTCGCAATTGATGTATATCCCGTTTATCACGTCTGTGAACTTGTCTTCTTTTAAGCATTTCACCCCAAGCAAAGCGGGAGTACCACTAGCACGCAAGGGGGTTGCAGAGGGTAGAGAACAAGAGTAAAGAGGCGTGTTTGGGGAGAAGATAAAAGAGAAGGACGGGGAATAAGATCAAGGTATCAGAAGATGTCGATTGACATTACACTTGAATTTTTAAAGATTTAGTTATCAGGGAAGCAAGTAAGAGGAAGAGAAATCCACAGATGGTAAGTGTGATAGAAGAAGCTGTTTGAGTAGAAGTGACGGTTACATTTAGCCATTTCGACAGTGAAAGGGTGGGACCGAGATGCCAACCTAGTTGCTCGCTTAAATTCTTGCAGTCTGGGAACCAGAGAAAACAACTCGTCGATGACAAAATCGTCTCAGGCTGAGAGCATTTCTGTTACTGTTCCATCAGGCCCTGTTGCTTTCTTCCTGTTCATCTTCTTCCGTCCTGTCTTTTAATATTTTCCATCGCAGGTTTCACTCTCACATCGTGAAAGAGTTCTTTGTTTTATTCGCTCTACTTTTGGAATATTTTTTCTTTTCTATTATCAGTGATACTTCCTTGATTGTTTGGAGCCTGTTGGTTGACTCATCTTTCGTCCTCTTAATCCTTTGTTATGCAAATTTGCTGAATTTGTTTTGCTCATTTTATTTCTGGACATTGTTCATTAGCCAGTTTTTAATTGCTGTGTTCTGTGCTTTCTTCCATTACTTGGCCTTGTTTGCTGTTTCTTTTTCATCATCGTTAGAATTTCCTCTAACCTCTATTCATTCCTTTCTTGTCGAGTTTTCTTTCGGATGATCTCGCTTGCCGATGTCACTAGAATGTTACCCTTTGATTTTGTAGCCTCGTTCAGGTTATATTCGTTTATAAATCTGTTTTTGTATATCTTCTTGTGTTTTTCAGGAGTCTGTTTTATTGCAGTTTAGGGATTGCTTTGGATTTTAGTTTCCGTAGTTTTATTCTTAAAAAGCACATGATTGGAAGGTGGTCACCCCCACAGTAGACACTTGCGTATATAGACCCGCGTTTCCTAATCTTTTGCTGATAGTTATATTATCAGTCTTGTTATTCGTGCATCTCTTCGGATTCTCCATGTTCACCGGCGTCTTGGGTATTTCTGGAGCCAGGTATTAGTGATTACTTTTGCTGCTTATCACTGGAACCAACTTTTGTCACTTTTTTTTGGGGGGGGGGCTTTTCTCCTACCTTAGCATTCATGTCTCTCATGATGATAATGATTTCTTGTTTTTTACATACGGCCTTGATATTGTCGAGAGAGTTGTAAAAGTTATGGATTTCCTTTTCTGTGCTTTCGGTGCGTATACAACGATATTTTTAATGATAAAGAGCTTCCGTTTTAGTTTACCAGGATTCTGTCTGAGATTGGGAAATATCACATTTCTTCGTGTCATTATCTAATATTCACCCTAAACCTTTCATTTTTCTCACCGCCAGCATGTATTATCCTGTGTTTGTCGCTAATTAATTCCCTATTACCTTGCATATGCCTAGAATGATATTTAATCTAGTCATCTCTTGCTTGATGTTTACTTGGTGGACACATTGATATAGCGTCCTTACGTTCAAGATGCTGACTACTTTTGTTTTAATTGTTGCGAACAATCGCTGTATAAAAGTCCGATGACACCTGCCGCTTATTTCTATCCTTACTGGGCGAGGAGTTTTTCTTATGGAACTTAATCCTCTTTACTCTGTTATTTTTATATTCTTTTTGCGAGCATATACATCACCGAAACAAGTGTCATTTTCAGTCATGACTGACACTCTAGAAGTTTTAAATTTATCTGTGATTGTAAAACGTACGATGTCGAAATCTAAATTAAGTGTCAAAATGTGAGGCCGATTTCTAGGTTATATATAAAGGTTATTCATAAATAGAATAAAATGGACAACAGAATACATGAATACTGATTTTTCAATAATTCTATACACTGACGAATGCCATGCTATTGTCGAAGAACCAGAGAGAATGAGCAAAGTAGATTCTAATATATACACTGGAATGTCAACATGGTGGAGATGTGGAAAAGCTTCGGAGCTGTTTTATACACATTAAGATGCTTCTTATTCACAACAAGGCTCGACGCGTTCAGAGAAAAAGACTAAATAAAAAGACTAAATAAAAATGTGTTCTAAGATACTCGCTTCATGAATTTGTCGGTTCCTTCGACTGAACTTAATCCGGCTGAAAATTTGTG